AAGAGCTTGAAATGCTGGCCGACAGGAAAAACGCCCGAAAATTTTATCATGGAGTTAGGCGACATACTGAAGGTTTGAAGATCAGGGCGAACTCCAGTAGGAACAACCCTGGCGACCTAGAGACTCATATCCAGAACGTACTTAAATTATGTAGGGAACACTTTTCCAGTTCGTGTTCTAAGTTCGTGCGCTAGTTCGTATAGATGCCCTCTGACATACCTTGGCGAGAGCTCCTCTGCAAGCAAGTGTCTGTTTGGGTATCCACGTCTGTGGCTCCGTACTAAGAATTGCTTGCAGAGCATTGTGTTGAGCTCCTTAACGGGGAGCATTTGCCCCGCGTCATGTAAGTGATGTTGTGGCACCATCAGAAGGCATCCGGTAGCTGTCCGTAGTGCAGTGTTTCGTACTGTCTGCAGCTTCATCCACTGCGTCCTACTAGTCCCCGGCGACTAGACTGGCGCTGCGTAGTTTAGAACTGGCCGGCCAATCTCCTTGTATGATGCCAGCAACTTTTCTTTGTCCTCAACCCAGGTGGTGCCGGCTAGCGACTTGAGGAGCTTGTTGCGGCTCTGTACTTTGTTGACAATTACGGTTGTGTGCGCAGAGAAGGAGAGCAGACTTTCGAAAGTTACTCCGAGGATTTTCGGGTTATTCACCGTCGGAATTGGTTCGTCATCGACGTGAATACCCAACTGCAGTCTGACCTCCTACGAATTGTGCGGGAAAATTTAACTCACGCACGTTCACGACAGACAAAATTTCAATTACGCAAGATGACGGAGGATACGTGATTCTCGTGTGAGGATCATCGCTAAGGGGAAAGTTGATCTATCAGGACTATTTACCGAGAAAATAAAACAAAGGCCTTCAAAAAGCCATTCAATATTTCCTTTAAGTATAACCATTTTTCTCTCTAAGTAAATACTTTCCTTTAAATACCCTAATAGGTCAGGGTTTCACCAAAATTTGCTAAAATAAATTACCCAACTTCTTTTTGTTAATATGGAGGTTGATTCGGTGAATAAAATTGGACGAAACTGAGGAAAATTCTTAGCTCTTGAAAACCTGAGAGTGTTTACAAATGAGTCGGTAAATATCAAAGCTGTCTAAGTCCACAGATTTTTTCCATATCAATCATATTTTTGGTACAATATACACTGACCTAACAAATAAATAGTTTAAACTACTGGACTAATTAATGTCGATAAGATAAAAAAAGCCATTTAACTGTAAGTGTAAATAAAAATTGCTTAAGTTAAGTAAGTAAGAACCGGTGGAGTCAGGCAGGTTGGATATGTATCAACTCAATAATGAGGTTCAAGAAGCTATCAACGTTCTGTCTCGAAAACTTGTACTCTGACAATGCTCTGGATAAGATAACCGGTAAATTTTGTTACCATCTCATGAGCAGGTAACAAAATATTACCCCGTGAAATATGCAACACCAGAATTTCAACAAAACTCCATTGCTGAATTGCTGAATAAATTAAAACGTTACCAAGGTAAATAGAATTGCGGTTGCAAGCAGTGGTGACAATTGTTGGTAACAAAATTAGCTTGTTACAAAATGTTCGGTTACAAGCAGAATATGCCTGTTATTCTTACGTTCCAATAGCTGTTTGAGAACTTTCTCTAAGATACATTCTTTTACCATGACGATTGGTTTAGAGTGTTATTAAGCTCAAGTTTATAAAGTCTCACTGTTATCCGTTGGAAACCAGTCTACCCTGTTAATATTTTTGTCGGTATAAATTAATTTACAATTTGCGATTAAAAGGCGATATATCGGTCAATGTGGCTAGAATTCCAAGTATTTAAGTTCTATAAAGGCCTAGCATTTCAATTCGCTTGAGCTTATATTAAATTTCACCAGCCGAAATTCTTCTCTTCTCCAAACTATCCGCTAATTACATTATAATATACCACGAACTGGAATACTCAGCTGTCCTTTGACCCAAAAATGAGGATTAAAATGAGCTCATAAGAGTCGCTAAGTCGCTGAGTGTTTTCTGCTTATGCAGACCGCAGTCGATACTTTTTGAAACTAATCAATAGCAAATTAATAGCAAGCGAGGACACAAAAACAATACAAAACGCAACAAAGTGTGGGTTGGAGTGTGGGTGGAATTGAGACGACGTAGCCTGAAAAACCGCAGCCTAACGTCAAACAAAAAAAAAACAGTCGGTGCCAGGCACAAGCGCTCAGCAACTGTATAAATTAAAACAAAACAAAAGCAAATGCTGAAACAAGGCAACCACAAGGATAATCGCCGCTAAAGTCAAAGTACAATCAACAAAGCAGTTGGAAACAAGCAAAACAAAGCTGCGGCTAGCAAGTCGAGCTACAAATCGAAGCGCAATTAAATGACAAGCCACGGAGCAATGAAGCATGGAGAGGAAGTGGAAAGGTGAAAAGGCGACAAGATAGAGAGAAATATCAGGAGTATATACATAGCAGTTGGGTAGACAAGTGGAAAAAATGGAGTAAAGGTGTACTTTAAAACAAAAAAAGACATTAGGATTGTGGTGACAACACATATGTAGATAAGGATGTTTGTGTGGGGCCGTGATTAGAATCGTCGTGAAACGACAAAGGCGCGCGTAAGGACTCAAAACGGCATTTGAGGCGAAGCGCTCAGCGCCACCTTAAGCTGGAGCATGTGGCAGGGGGGAATTAGTACAGCGTGAATAGCAACTTGCTGCTACATTCATTTGTATATATGTATGTATGTATGTACTATGTTTGTATTTGTCTCGGTCTGGACATGGCAAATAGACAAGTTGATGTCATAATCGAAAAAGTAAAGTACAAAGTGCTATTAAAACGCGCGCTCGAACACAAAATATTATCTAGCAAGGACAGCCAGACAAATAGTCATTTAGTTGACGACAGGGTATTGAGCGCAAAGAAAGCCTACGTCGATAGAGTACGGCAAATGGGGGAACGAATTAAAAACAAAATGAGGAGTGGCCGAAGCGCTCAAACGAATGAACGAACACGAGTTCGGCGACGTGTTTCGAAACTAGGTGGAGGCAAATTGCTGGACGAGTCATAAGACTCGTTTTAGATGCCGCTGTGTGCATTGAATTTGTTGAAGCCAACTTGGTTGGGGCATTGGATAGGGTGGTGGTGGGTCTTATGTAAAGCCGAGCTGTAGCGCTTCAGCAGGGTGTAGATGCGGCGGCTGTTGATACAACAAAGAAGCAGAGAAAGAGCGCAGAGTAGAGCGAAGTATGTATTTAGCTGAAGGCGGACTTAAAAATTGCGCATTGATGGGTAGAGCGCGGAGAGCGCCTTGTGCTATTTCATAAACGATTAAAGCTAGCAACTCAGCCATGCCGCTTCAATTGCATGACGTGGTGTGCATTAAGCTAGGGGTGTGTGCATGTGTGAGGTAACTTTAGGCGCTGGGAACAAAGCTTGTCGACAGTATAGACAGCAAACTGCAAAATAAATTTGTGTGGGCAGGAAATCGATGAGAACCGCAATATGGCAGATAATCATGCCTTAAATGACAAAGCCTCAAATTTGCAAAGCATACTTTTCGGGGCTTTAAGAGAAAAAACGTCGATTGCTGATTAAAAATTGATTCATATAAGTAAAATAATATATCAAATGGAGAAAAATTACATTTAAGAAATGAAATTAAACTTTTTTCCAATAAGATTATGTTATGCCAAAAACCTCTTTAAAACCAGTGAAGTTATAATCACCCACCGGAAATGCAAGAGCAAGGCTTGAATATTTCCTACCAGATTTTGTTCAAATCGTTTTGTTTTAGTAAAAACTTTGCTTTACTTTTGAAAATATTTCAAAATTTCAATTTGCCGGAACCATGTGTATGCCCTGAAGCCGAACATCGAAACACTGCACACTGATTAAACCTTAAACAGAAACCGGAAGGGGTGAAAAGCCAAACTTGTGAATGGATAATCGCACATTTTTACAAACAGTTTTCAATCCAATTAGACTTATTTAATATGGTGCACTCCACTACTGTTTCAAATTAGATTATATCTTTTCAAACTAATATTTTTCTAAGAAATTTAAATAAAATCACACACTCACCAGTATCAGCCGTTCTTCCAATGCAAAATGCACTTTTTGGTCCTTTAACTGCTTGCCACTAAAACAAAACCAACCTGCCACATTCGTTTCGAGCAAAAGCCAGCGTTGAGCTCTGCTTATCCTGCTGACGCGAGCGCACGCAATCGGTTTCTCTTTTTATTTGTTCGTTGGTTTGATGATGATGAAATGCTGATGTTCCACGCACCAACTATACAAACGCAAAATACACACAAACACGGGTAAAGAAAAAGGGACAAAACGCGATTTTACTTATGTTCCTTTAAATAATTCAGCACTAAAAAACACAAATATGAACTTCACTGCACACAATGAGCACAACAACGCAACTGCTGCTACTGTTCTCCTTGCAGAGTAGCTGCTCCTCCGTTCGCAGTGCGTCAAGATTTTCCTATATTTGGCTTGGCTTTCCCCGTGGCTCGCCACAATCCCGATCACAATGCTACGCTTGAAACGACGAATAAACTCGAACTGGGCTTTGTTTTATCGCTCGTTTGCTCACAACTAAAAGCCAACCCACCGCCACCCTTTGCGCGGCAATTGCTATTTTTCTTGCTAGTAGAAATTGTTGTTGCAAAATTGTTCCATGCGTTTTAATTGGGTTTTGATTTTTTCAACCCCCACTGCATTCATCTGTCAAACACAGCTGAGAGTCAAAATACCGCGGAGAAATGAGCTGAAGATGCCGCTGCGGTAATAAAGATGGCGTTTCAAAAATTGGTTGTTCATTGTGATGAAATAAACAGGCATTTTAACTAAAAGGCGTAATTGTTTTCAGATATATAATTAACTAAATTAGAAAATAATCGAAATTGTTAAAAACAAAACTTCTTTCATGGTCACAACATTTTTTGTGCAACCCTGCAAATTCACTTTCACATTCCACTGTGGAACTCCACGTTCCACTGACATTTCTACTGGACTGCACTGCCTTACCAACCAACTGACAGCTGTCAAAATGGTCTTTTCCGGTTTAATTCATCACGAAGAAGGTACGATTTTGTGATAGTGAAAAATAAAAGTGTTCAACATCCATGAAAATACCGATAATTAGCAGGAAATATGGATAAAAGTATAAGCGGCAAAGTGTGGTCTTGTGTAATTAATGAGCAATTTCAGCATTTTGCCTGCGAATTCTATTAAAACGATTCGTAAATTTCGTAGCATCCAAAATGCAAGTATCGAATAAGTGTGTTTTTTTTTTATTATTTTACAGAAATTAAACAATGGGACGGTACTCGCGGGAACCAGATAATGCCACAAAGTCTTGCAAGGCGCGCGGACCCAATCTACGTGTGCACTTCAAGGTGAGTGAATTTCCTATAGCAAAGTTGAGTATGAATAAGTACGCTTTACGTTTGCTTGAGGTGGAACTGTGGCTCTGAAGTAAAATTTAACAAACAGTGAAAGAACTGTTTAGTCCCAACCGACGTGGAAATTTTTTAACTCGTGTCTTTTTTTCGGGTAGCGTTGTTTACGTGTATATGTTTATGGCGAAATCTTGTTATGCATCTAAAATCAGTGCATGAAAGGCAGCCCTCTTTCATGATACTTTTGCAAAGATGCTAGAGAAAATAAGCAGTGACTAAAAATCATTGCAGCCAAGCATCAGCTGGGGAATCGTCATTAACTGCGATTAACCATCTAGAACTTGTGCAACAATTTTGTCATATTAAAGACGTTCAAACTCGATAGCATAATACATAATTAGTGGTGCATTTAACACAACACAGTGCACCGCTGGATTATTTATGCTGATATAAACTCAGCAGGAAAACAGTGGTAAATACGCCTTCAAATGCGGTTCATCACTACCTGTCCTGTTGCACAAAAATATACATCATATCGTTATAAAAATACAAAGCGTGCATCTTAAATCAGTGCTTAGGAGAATCTAATTTTTTGACACTTTTGCAAAGATGCCAGAGTAAATAAGCAGCCCCTTATAGGCTGCGGCCAAGCATCAGCTGGCGAATAGTGAATCTGTGCGATTTGCCATCTAGAACTTGTGTCACAACTCATACGCTACCACCAACAGTTACACCAGCCAACACATGCCATCAGAAAAAACGAAAATTTTCTAATTCGAACTATTCGTTATAATTTATAGCATAAAATGTGTTAGTGGCGCATATGATTTTTTTGCGTCGCTAAAATATATTGTGCTTAAAGTAAAATCGATGGGAAAACAGTGGTAAATGCGCCAACCACTGCGATTCATCACTACCTGTCCCATTGAACAATATTAGCTCTTAGAAGATTATATCAGTTTAAAATATATGCACATATCACCTCCCCACCCAGTTTTATAGCACACTAATAATCTTGCTCTTCCTTCTTTTGCAGAACACCCATGAAACCGCCCAGGCTATCAAGCGTATGCCACTGCGTCGCGCTCAGCGTTTCTTGAAATCAGTCATTGAACAGAAAGAGTGCGTGCCATTCCGCCGCTTCAACGGTGGTGTTGGCCGTTGCGCGCAGGCTAAGCAATGGAAGACCACTCAAGGTCGCTGGCCAAAGAAATCCGCTGAATTCCTGTTGCAGCTCCTGCGCAACGCTGAAGCCAACGCTGACTGCAAAGGGCTCGATGTCGATCGTCTCGTTATCGACCACATTCAAGTGAATCGTGCGCAATGCCTGCGTCGCCGCACATACCGTGCTCACGGTCGTATCAACCCTTACATGTCGTCACCATGTCACGTTGAGGTAATCCTCACCGAAAAGGAAGCTGTCGTGTCTAAGGCGTCCGAAAACGAGCCAGCCAAGAAGAAGCTGTCGAAGAAGAAGTTGCAGCGACAAAAGGAGAAGATGATGCGTTCCGAATAGATGTTGTAAACTTAAGTGATTAAGGTAGTAGATTCAAGAGAGTGGACAGCTGGATTTGATTTTGTATATGCGTTCGTGAGTACAACGGTGTTGAACGCAGCAAATTTTTCAATAAACAAAAATTTGTTCAATACATATCTCGATTGAACGCTGTTTTTAAAATATATCGCTTTTATTTAATGAATTGGCTGGGTAAGCAAACAAAAGTTCAAATATAAGATTGTTATGTATATTTCCATATATAATTGAAAACGAAATGTGAATTTTTTGTTCTATTTAGGGCCGTTTTCTCAAGTGGGTTTTAAAATTGATCTGCCCTTTAAACATAAGTTTGGTTCTGAAAAAATGTGTTCGCAAGGACAGGTAAATTTTAAAACCTACCTCAGAAAATGGCACTTAAGATTTTGTAAATGCTGCATACATTTAGGTACTGGCATTCAAATTTGGTAAACGTTTCTAGCATCGGTGTATTAACGCTTGGTACCCGACCCTTCCTTTTTTGCGTCAGTCAATTTGCAGCGGACTGCAGTGTCGTCTGTTGGAAACGAAATTAAATTTTTGAGTATATAATTTTTTTTTAATATACATACATATATGTGTCTATAGGGATAAAACCAGAAAAGAAAATAAATGGAATCATTCAGTATCAAACCCAGTATGTATCCAAACTTCCTTCCACATTTCATTTCCTTTAATTACTTTGAACCTTAATCACCCTGTGAGCACAAGAATTCAAAAAAATGGACACACGGAATATCCGATAAAAAAAATAAAAATCTGCTGGTTTCAACTTCCTGCCGCTTTGCATTTCCTTGAATATCTATACACCTTGGTCACCCTGTGGGCAACTGCACTTTGCTAGTTTGACAATTGAAATTAATTTTGTGCGCCAAACTTTGCCAACGCGGCCTGTGAGAAGCCAATATTTTGGAAAAATTTAAGTTTTTAGTGAAAATAGTGCAATAAATAGTTGTGTAATCGAAGTAGCGTAGTGTAAAGTGTGTGTGAGTAGTGAAGTTACGTATACAGCATACGTGCGAGTGCATTCCTTCAACACGCGGCTTGGTGTGTACTGCATTAAAAATTTGCAATTAACGAATCTCTGCTGTCAAATTATGAATGCAAGTAGTATGAAACGTTCCTCTAAACTATTGGGAATATTTATACTCCATCTTTTTAACAAAATACCGGACTACCATAAGCGGGAAATCATGCGGTGCTTGGTGGCAGATGAGCGCAACACGCGCCTTCAAATTCCAAGGTTTTACTATATTGATGTGCCAAATATAATAACACTATTGCATTGCAAATTACGACCAGCAAATTACATACCCAAACAAATATGCTACGTGCCGCCGATCATCTGTTCATCTATAACCAAAGTTAAGGGACGCAAACAAGCTGTGCAAGGTATGCTATTTGCCATTATCACTTAAGGGNTATCGTTCCATACCCTTCTTAATGCCGAACTCCGGGGATGCCAAACTAAATTGCAGCCTAAGGGTGGGAACTACTAGACGGCTGAGTTGGAAATCGGACCTATCTCGGCAGTCGATTCGAAAACGCCCTATTTCAGAATTTATTTGAAAAACGCCCTATCTGAGAATTTGGTTAAAGGGCAAATTAGAGGTGCCATAACCATAACGCCTTAGCCATAACGTAGCAAAATACTTCAGAGTTGCCTTTGGTTATGGCGAAAAAAAAAAAATTAAATAGATACATGCGATTATGGTTATGGCTCTGGTGTTATAGTATGACACCAATAATCGTTTACAGAGCTGCGCGTACGTTTTATCGGAACATTTTATTGCTATGGTTATGGTTATGCCTAATGTATGGCACCACTAATTCAGCCCTACCCCAGGATTTGATTCAAAAACACCGTATCTCAACTGAAAATATGTTGATAGTGCGTTTTCGAACAGGCTGCATTCGATATGTCTTAAGGACTTGTTCCCATTGATAGGAGATTTCGGCGGATCAAACTAAAAATTTGGCATTTCTCGTGGTGAATAGGAAGTTCAGAATTTTACATATGTAGCTCATGGGACCAGATAAAATTTTGACAGATTCTAAATATGTATACACATAACATTGTTTGGCGGTAAAAAAAGCGAAAATCTAAATGGAAGCTAAATAAGTTAATAGTAAAAACAAACATCTCTAAGGCAAGCTTTCTAAATATGAACGAAATCGGACCATAAATACTGGTTTACGAAATATATCGACTCGTGCGCCACCTATCGGGAAGTTTTTTTAGTGGAGTTATTCCTTTTCATTTAGTTAAAATATAAGTTCCAAATATGAACCGAATCGGACTATAAATACGAGTTTTTTCAAATATCTCGAACGAGCCAACTGTGAAGTTCAAGTCCTAGTCTCTAGGTCATCGGGAATTTGGTCAAAACCTGATTGCAAGATTTTACAAACAACATACAAACATACAACATACAGAGCAAGTTAAATAAAAGCTTGTAAAAAATCCTACGGTTACAAAATAAATAGAAATTTCAACAATTTCAGCAACACACAAAAAAAGAATTCGCGCGCGCGTTTGTTTGGTTTTTCGTGTTGCAAAATTTTACCTTGTATTTGGCATAGCATAATTCAATTTATTTGTAGGTACACCATAGTAAATTTTTTCATCCCGTCACGCCACGAAGATAAAAGTTACCGAATGGCACACAGCCTTAAACACAAATCCTCAAGCATCACTCAGATCAGCGCTAAGTATACTTTCAATTTATTTGAGCGCAACTTGAATTCAATTGAAAATTTAGCTTGCAGGTTTGTGAGCTTTCATTTCTAAGATTCTCATTTGTATGTATGTATATTAGGGCTGTTCACGATGTTGTAGAAATGTTCTTGGATTTGCAGTTGGAACTGCATTTGCAATTTTATGCTTGCAGCCATGACAACCGTGTGCCTTTTATTGTTGTGTATTTAGAAAAGCTACGAATATGCAAATGCAAGGGCATATCGCTAGCTTAGAGTGAAAAGTTGCTAAGTCCACTTTTTAAGAAAACTCATATTTTGATATAGGAGGCTAGAGAAATTGAACGCGCATCGTTTCGAAAATTATAAAGGTACTTGTTTTATTTTTTCCTCTTCATAAGCAATAAAAGGAAAATTTGCTAAGTCCAAAAGAAGCACCACAAATCCGATAAGGCCAAAATAATACGACATCTTTTAATAAATATCGAATCCTTCTGATTCTTATGGAGTTTTGCTTTGCTTTAAACGCGCAAAATGTTTGATTCAAAGTCTTGCGAAATAGTTAAAGAAAATGGCTATAGGATGATTTTTTCCTCTCCTGTAAAATTTTTAAAATGGGACTTAGCAACTTTTCTTTCTAAGCTAGCGATATGCACAAGATCCTTAACAGCCCTATCTATACATACATATGTATGTGTGTATCTGAGCATGCAACACTTCGACAACTAGCAACTGCACAATTTGTCAGTTTAAATTAATTGAAGTACATATTTATAACAAAATGTGTACGAACTCCATTCCGAGATTGGCTTTTTTTTATATGTATTTACATATATATTCACATGCATACGTATGTAGTATGAACATATATAGTATCTATATTATGTAGTACATGGGTCTTTCCATGAAAATGTAAACCGAAAATGCAAGCAAATGAATTCAAACGGCTTTATAACTTTAAATTTCGTAATCACATGGCGGAAAAAGGTTTTGAAAACGCGAAATGGTGGAGAAGAACTGAAAAAATTAAATTAAAAATTTAATTTAGTATGTGTTACTAGTAAAAAAATTGTATGGTGGAAAAATCTGTCGCGTACGTTATGTGGCGTATGTTACTATGTTTTTTTTTTTAAATTAAAACTAACCAGTGATAATTTCTGTTAAAAAAGGAAGGATTATTTAACTTAGTTTAGGAATTTTTAAAGAAAAGAAAAACTCTCATGATTCGCAGACTTTCGCATATATGTATATGTGCCTTAAAACCACTTCTTTTTTTGTCGCATACGTTACCACCTTGTGTTGATCGGATAAACGGTTTTGATCGAGATAAACGGCTTTAAAGTTCTGAATTCAATTTGTTTTAGTGAGATACTGGTAATCGTTATAGCTTTGAAATTTTTACACAACATGGAAGAAGAGGTAGCGGTAATTTCTGCATACTTAACTAAATTTTCAAGATTTTTGGATTATGACTATTGAAGTAAATAAAGAAAATATAATTTTTTTTTTTTATAAAAGTATAGCTCATTATCTTACAAAAACCATATAAATGCATATTTAAAACTTTGTGCAAAAATTATAAAAATTCTGCAAAGTTGCATCTAAATTTTCAACTTTTTTTTCGAGTCTTATAGCCAATGAAATTTTAGTATAATAAAGTAAGTCTTAGGTTGCCAAAAAAACGCGTTGATTTTTTTAAATTTTTTCACGCAGTTTTTCCATATAAAGTACCTACTTACGTTCCATAATTTTTTTTGTATGCAAAAAAATGCGTAATACAGTCAGAGAAAAAAAATAAATCTTCAAACTAGCACTTTATTTATATGTATAATAATTTATTGAACTTAGGTGCAGTTTTGCAGAATTTTCATCATTTCTGCACAAAGTTTGAAATACGAATTTATATGGGCTATACTTTTATAAAAAAATAATATATATTAAATAAACAAAAGAAAAATAGGCAAAACTTGCTAAACTCTCTCGTCCCTATTTATTTTTCCAACACTGTATTGTACATATAGGCACCCACGCTCTTGCGTACATACAAATGTATGTATATATGTACGTACATATGTAGACTCTAAGCGCGTTGACTTGATTCCTTAAATTTTCCTCATTTATGTATACTTTTTACACTCGTTTTCTCCGTAATTTTACTACGTTAATATTTACATACATACATATGTATGTCCTAGAGATGGGCGCGGGATATCGGGACCCGCGTGACCCGCGGTACTGATTTCAAAATGAGCGGGATGGGACCAAAATCCTTTCCCGACACTACCGATAATACCCGAAACCTCCACAAATTCCGAACATCTTCCTTAAAAAAGTTTTATGAATTAAGCAGTTTTTTATGTTTTATTGACACGAAAACGAACAGCAAAGAAAAAAATAATAATAATCGGAAAATGTCAGATTTTTTATTTCCTGCGGTACAATTCTTAAAAGTGTCGGGATGGGCGGGTTCGGGACTTAAAAATTGAATTTCGACATGGGCATGATCGGGACTGGAATTTCTGTCCCGTGCCCATCTCTATTATGTACATATGTATTTACCCTATTCCTCCTTTACAACTTTGGCGCTTCTCGATCCACCATTTACGTCTTACAATGCAAATTCATTGGATTAATTCAATTTGTACGCAGTACACATTTATTCACATCGCCTTACTTAGGAATTAGTAATTTGTAGAATACAATATGTAATAAAACAGTAGGGGGTGCTGGTAATGCAGGTGGGTGGCGGTGACTTCCTTACGTCTTTGTTGGTGTTGTGGTGTGACAATTTCGGTTGGGAACTGTTTTCTTACTTGACATGAATGTCATAGAGTGGGCGTCATATTGTACCGATCGTGACATGGTTGTGCTTGGGCGAGTATTGGTATTAGAGTGAGCTGGTAAGTTCGTCAACCTCCTGTAAAAGAATGATAAGAAAGCAAAAGCATTGGCCAATTGCTGCATTCGTCTGCTAAATATCATAAAATAGTGTTTATAATTAATTAAAAGTAATATAAATAAAAGTAAAATAAAATATAACAATGAAACCAAAAAAAAAAATCGGAAAAAGACTATGAAATATCTGTTTCCAAACGATGTCGTCAACAATATCTTTTAATTTAATCTCCACTAGTTTGTGCTTATTATGCCAATTTTAAAATAAAGATGGAAAGGAACATGAAAAGAGGATAATATTAAGCCATCAACATTGTAGTGAAGCTCTTTATGAATAATCAACGCGAGCGCAATAAACGAACCACTTTACGCCCGCTCATAAAGACGCAGACTTTTATATGTGTATAGCTAGATACGGACACACAGATGTCAAATCTTATACTTCACATCTAGCAACCTGTCAACAATGCCGCCATTATAAACATGGGCGTACATACAAATTTAAGTAAGCGGGAGCATCCGCTTACGTATATTTCGCAGTTGCGATGGGTCTGCCGAAGACCTGCGGCACGTCGAACAAACGGTGCCGTTGAAGAAACAATCAAGAACGTAATGTGTATGTACATTAAGGCGTGTCAATTTTTGTTGACTATACGCGTATAGCATAGGAGGATTCTATGAGTAACTCTTATCAAATTTTCCGATGAAACCATGGGTCTAAAATCAATTTGGAGTTTGCCAAATTGCGAGAATAGGTTTCAAAGAAATAGTGAAAATTTTCAGTGCTGCGTCCTCTGATGGAAGTTTAAAGAAAAAGATAAGTGCAGAAATGGATTCCTCATATAATTAAATCCTTATAGCATGTTCTTATACAATATTTAAGCACTTCTCTACGACAATTCAGCAAAATGCTAAAAAACCTCCAAACTCCAAATTGATGTTAGACCCGTGTTCTCTCCGGTAAAATTGCTTAGCATTACACGTAGAATCTATCTGTACTACTTATACGCACATAGTCCAAAAAATGTCCCATACAAATTGACCCGCATTAATGTACATTCAGTCAACTCTTTCACAAAAACAAAAAAAAAAAATGCTTTAACAGTGAAACTCTGCCAGCCATCCATAAAGCTATCGACCGGTCTGTAGTAAATTATGACGATTCATTGCTACCAGCGACTCGCAGTGGAAGAATCTCTGGATATTCCAAACACAAATGCTCTGCGAACAGATTATGGGTGCATCCTTATGATCAACAACCCAACAGGCAGCACAGCACATCAAAGTCCGCTGTGGGCCAGAGCTGGAGGATACTTATCAAAACCCTTCACCGCAAGCTGTCACCAGATCCGGTTGGTGCACTAGGCTTTATTTTCACACAGATTATTTAGCAAAAGGCTTAAAGATGTCTACCCCAACTCAAAATCTCTGTCGTATGCTTACTCGACTAAACTAAAATTGGAAGTTCAATTTACTTCACGGATGTCGACAGAACCCGGACATAGAAACTCAGCTGCCGACTCGGAGGCACTTTAGGACCTTCTTGGACTTGTTTTATTATTTTCTTCTCTTTCCGGCCATGAATTCAGCACTTTTCCAGCGCCCTTTTTTGCAACACGCCCCTGCTTCCAATTGTTCATCTCATCCATTCGCATACTCAACGATGTCGCCGATACAAAAGGCGACATGACAACCGCAGATCAACAGATCAAGCCCGCTGACAATGCCTGATGAGCAGATTTAATTTACACGATCGCATTATAATCAGATTTAGCGCATTGAAGCCGAGCTCTAGCATCGAGGCGCTACACAAATCAGCTACGCAAACAGACATTCTTACACACACACACACACAGACATATACGGACATAGATAGCAGTAATTGTAGTGCGCTCATAGACATTTGTTAAGTGCAGTCGTCCGGCACCGCCAAATACCGCTTGCTGGAGGCACTTTCGGTCGGTGGATCGGTGGATCGGTGCCGGGCTGCCGGGGCAACTCACACCAAATTGAATTTGCGGCAATTGTGTCTGTGTTTTTGGAGCGAATGACGGATTTGCTTGTAAATCAGCTAAACAGTTTAGCATTAACCGCGCCACATAACGTTTCTACGACGAGTACGAATTTCCACGGATCGAAAAATTGTTGAAAGCTGAGTTCTAAGATCTAAAAGGAAAAATTGGAATATTTATTTAAAATTTCGCTAGCATTGAGCTAAGTTTACTAATTCCCAGGCAGTGCAAAGTGGAATAGTGGAATTAAAAAAATATATGTATATCGCCAAGCTATTTGCAGCTTCGATGCTTCTCCAACTGTTTTTCTGAGCGTATGTGTTTGAATTTAAAATTAAGTGAAAAATCTAGAAACAAAAACCAAAAAAAATCAGCATTTCAAATGAGTAAAAAACAAGACGAGGAATGATTGTGAAAAATACTAACTACATGTAGCGCATAATAATCCATACAATTGCATTAGAATTGGAAATTGAATTACATTAAAACCAATTAAAATCACACAGAAAACAAAAGGAAAATTAAGGCAGAAGAAACAATAGTCCAACTCACTAGCGACGACATCGCCACCGACAATGAACGCGTGTGACTAAATCGTGTTCGAGCAGAGCGTTTTTCTTTTCCACACTTTTTTTTTTTTTGTACACTGTTTGTCGGCTTTTATTTTGTTTATTAAGTGCCGGCATTTTTTTTTTGTTTTGTGCGCGCATTAATTAATTAATCAAAACAATTATTTATCTTCGTTTAAAAGTTTTAAATACTTTCAATGATAAAAGTGCAAATGAAAGACGAAATCAGCAGCTAAACGGTGTGGCATGTATTAATTGAGTGAGAATTAAACCGTTTCAATGCACATATGTATGTATAATGTTAGTCACTTTTCCACTGTGGCGAGTTAACTCACATTCAGTTGTTATCTGTTTATAGGTTTACAGTACAAAAATTGAAAGTTAACTGCAGAATATGAATTTACACTGCACCATGAAAACGGCCCTAAATACCTATTCTATGAAGTCCAAAAGATTAGGATAGATAGATCACTTCTGGTTGGTTGGTTGGTTGAAGTGGCGAGTTTAACAACTCCAATTAGCACTTATGCGTGCCGTTTTAAAACCACTACTCGCAATTTAAACCTGAAAAGACAGCCCGAAAAGAAAGCAGCAGAAGTCGGTTATATATCTCAAACCCAGCCTGTGGAGTTCAAGAACTTAAGAAGTTGCAGTGGGTTAATATCACTTATGTCCGTTAAACCGCAGAAGCAGGGTTTGCCTAGAAGCCTGATTCTAGTCCTACATAGTGCTGGGCAATCGCAGAGCAGATGCTCCACCGATTCTTCTGCATCTGGTGAATTGCAACTACAACAAGATATGTTGTGTTCCAGTCCTAGTCTTGCAGCATGGATTCCCACGACCCAGTGGCCTGTGTAAACGGCAGTTAGTCGAGATAGATCCTTCCTGTTTAGTTTGATAAGAAAAGCAGTGCGTTTTGCGCAGTAGGTGGGCCACAGACTCCTGCAGACCCTACAGGATTGTAGGTTTTTCCACCCACTGCTAGCCACATTTTTCCAGTGCTGAGAGATGCGGCTCTTGATATAGCTCAGAGGCACAAGAACCTCCTTTGCCTCTGAGATATCCAGAGCCGACCCATTCCTGGCCAGCTCGTCAGCCATCTCGTTGCCATGAATTCGGCTGTGCCCCGGCACCCAGATCAGTGCAACGACGTGCCTGTTGGCTATAACCCTAACGTTCTCCCTGCACTGTTTTATTATGCTGGAGGTGTTGCTTACAGAGCCAAGTGCCTTGATCGCTGCCTGACTATCTGTGAAAATAGCAATGCTGGTTCTCGCTAGCTTCGAGGCTAAAATTATTTTGCACGCCTCATTTATGGCAAAGACCTCTGCCTGAAAAACACTGGCCGAATTAGGTAATCGAATAGACTCTTCAATTTGGAGGTCGGTTGAAAAAATTCCCGCCCCTGCCCCACAATCCATTTCTGAACCGTCCGTAAAAATTGATACTTCGAAGCGTTCAGTAAAAATAGGATCCTTCCACTCCTTTCTTGATGGAAAAATCGTGCCGAAGTTTTTCTTGAAGAGAGGCGAAGGACAAATGTAGTCAGTTTTTTCGCGAATGCTTGGGTTGTTGAAAGAATACAGGATACGTCCATGCCCGTACGTACGTTCTTTCCACAATCCAAGTTCCCTCAACCTGAGCGCACTCTGTGAAGCACTTTCCTTGATAAAGAGATCAATCGGTGGCAGATGACAGATGACATTCAATGCTTCCGTTGGACATGATCTGATCGCCCCAGTAATCGTAATGCAGGCTGACCTTTGTACCCTGCCTAACATTGTGCGTATGTAGTTCATCTCTACGGCTTTCCACCATACCAGCGAACCGTATGCAATAATTGGGCGAATCACTGCCTTGTACATCCATAGCATAAGATCAGGTCGTAGGCCCCACCTCTTATCCAGCATTTTCTTGCAGGAATACAGAGCACCATAGGCCTTTTTTACTCGGTGCTCTGTATTCATTTTCCAGTTTAATTTCGGTGTGAGAATGACTCCCAAATACTTAGCGTAAGGGGAAAGAGAGAGAGTAAGCCCGTTCAAGGAAGGTAGGTTAAAATTAGGAATCTTTTTTCTTGTAGTGAATAATAGTAATTCGGTCTTCGAGGGATTAACGTTGAGCCCGCAGCCATTTGCCCAAGAACCCATTTCCCCCAGTGCTCTTTGAAGCATTTCGCTTATCACATTTATAGGTAGATCACTTTTATTTCCCCAGTTAAATATTCGTTACGGATTTGGTAAGGATGAACATCTTCTTAAATAATTTGTCCAAAAGAAATATAGCCTAAAAACAACAAAGATAAAGTGAGAAAACCAAACGATGAATTATACAGTGTAGGCCTAGGAGAGGTGGACGCTTTAGATTTCGCAAGACGTCAAACGATACTCTTTAATAAAGTCAACAAAATAATACAGACACTCGCTGCTAACTTACCATGCAGCAAGGGGATTTTTATTATTCTACAGACAGGGTTTAAGGTTTAACGGCGTTCGCCTTGAAGTTACGTAGCTTAGCGAATCTGGCTTTAAAAATACATCAGCTCGAGGAAGTATAGAAAAAGTCATCAGGTTCGAATCGAACGCGTAGCTTTTCGAGCAAATTTTCCCTGCTCGAAAACTCAATACTGAGTTCAACAGTGCGCGCCAGAAATTTCTTCGTCGTGGATAATGGCACCCATCATCAACTCCAAAAGAGAAGCCGATGACTGCTGGAAAACTAGATTCCAATGCGGTTGTAGACTTTCTATTTTAACACTCCGCTATATACATACGGTGGCGAAAATGTAAGTAGGGAAGGGATATTTTAGCTAGTGTTGGCTATTTTTCTTTATTTAAAAAAAAGTATTATTTTTTTTTATTAAAATATAGTTACTATCTATAAAAAAAATATGTAAATCAAATTTTCAATCTTTGTAGAGCATTTATAAAAAATCGACGAATTAAAACAAAAATGCTCATAAAAGTTTGAACTTTTTAGCAGTTAGAATTTTCGTGAGTATGCAGTTTTGTAGCTCATTAAATTTTAGTATAATAAAGTTAAAGTGTGAAGTAGATACTACTTACCGTTGATTTTTTGCAATTTCTTTTGTTCGCGTATTTTCTTCCATGAAAAAATGTCCAAAAATTGCCAAAACTAAGTGGGATACAAAACTGCATACTCAGAATGTTTCTAATAAATCTAATTTATAAGCTCAAAATTTTTATGAAATTCTGTACAAAGAATTTTCCTAATCTTGGTACAAAGTTTAAATTTTTGCCTCGCATGGTTTTTATTAGATAACGAACTATACTTTCATAAAAAAATAATAAAAATTAAATAAGCGAAAGAAAAGTAGCCAAAACTGAAATGCCTCCTCCCCATTTTTATTCGCGCCACTGTGCATACCAATATACATACATATTTACGTAGGTATTTGTTTGTTTAGAAAATTTATCTTATGACGTTTAAGAAATGCTAAAAAATTTGTTTAGTAACACAAAAACCTAAAAGAAATGCCAAGTGTTTGGCCGAGCTTCTGCTCCGATTCGTGGCGTACCGCTTGATGTTATCGCACAAAGGGGAGCGGCGCTAGGAGACACTTTTTTCGTTTGGTGTTGGTCGGAAACTGGCACTTCTAACCACTACACCACAGCGGCCGCCTTTTATTTGGCCTATCTTTTTCTGGCCCTCAAAATTTTAAAATCAAGTTTCTGTTTTTATTTGCTCTTGCAGTTCTTTTGATTTTAAAACTGAAACAATGAAAAAACAAATCACATTTTTTTAAGTAATTAACAAAAAAAAATTTATAACACTTTTTCATACGTATTTTGGTTTTTTTCAAAAGTCGACAAAATTTTAAACAGCGCGCGTTAAAAAGGGAACAATAATATATTTAAGCGAATTTATAATTGCTTATTTCCTTCGCCGCTTATTTCTTACTTATTTTGAACTCAAAAAAATTAAGAATTAAAACAATACCGATTTGTAACATAAGCGTAGAATACGCTTTTTTTCGTGTAAAATATTTCTATTTGCTTTTTCTGTTGTTTTTAACAAAAAAAATATAAAAATATCCAATGGAAATTTCTCCAAAAATGTAATTTTTGAAAAAGAATTGAAAATAATTCCACTTTTTTCATCGAGGTACATGTGTACATACCTATGTACATTTTTTTTTCAAGAATACCGATTCCACAATAGTTTAATATTTACATACATATTTTCTTCTTTCATCCATATCTTTTCTTAAATATTTTCAAAATTTAGCAATGAAATTCTTTAAATTTTTCCTGTCACGAAAGCCAACCGATTTGAACTCGCCGCTTAATAAATTGATTAATAAAAAGATAAAGTGGCAACAATTTGAAACCATAATTAATAAATTGGTTTAAACTGGCGTTCGTGATGCTATGCGTGTACGTGAAATCAGCCAGAGAAGGTTAATTAACCTGAAAATTATAAAATAAAAATCTACTTGACGCGCCTTACCCTTTTTCACAACTTCCGCCTGAAGTACACCTACTCTTTGTTTCACTTTCCACTTCGTTCCTTTGCTGGCATACAGGAAGACCCTTTCACATTACATAATGTGTGCTGAAAAGGCGCAACCGTAAAGGACTTGCGCACACAAACACATGCATGGCAAGCCGCCATATTTTCTCAATTGTTTTTTTTTTTTTTTTGTTTACTTTGCTCTGTCTCCCATTTGTTGCCTGCTGCTACATACATACAGATGTACATACATATGTCGCCGACTCATTCATAATTAAGGTAATTGATGAAAACATAAAATCAGCCTCCATTACATACATACATATGTACATATGTGTGTATGCATGTAGATATTTATGTATGTATGTGTACATAACGAATACACCTTGGTTTTACTTAAATATGCCCGCACATATCGTCGTTGGGCGTTTGTGTGTCACCCCGAAAAAAGTTTGCTAACCGCAAATGAAACTGAATTTTTCCAGTATGGAATTTCACTTGCCGCCAGCTTAGCTTCGGTGACTATTCCAGGCAGACGCTGCGTCAGGCAGGCTGTGGCCGAGAGCGTAACGAGATTGAGGAATGAATTTTCATGAAATCGCAATTTGTTTACATCACAGAAACTAATAATGAAAAAAAAAATATTTCGCCGGACAGCCGAATGAGTGTCGTATTTCTTCACAAAGAAATGATAAAATTTGCTAAGCAACAATTTGCAAAAACAAATATATGTATGTATACATACATATATGTATGAATATTAGCTTTTTTATTGATTCAAGTAGATTCACTGAAAAAAGAATAAATTAATAAAATTCTACAGTGCTTGCTAAATGTAAGCGACCGACCATAAATAGCAAACAAACAATTTAAAAGCGATTAACAATTAAGTGAAATTAATAAAAGAGGCAATAATTGTTGAAAATTTGCTATAAATAAAGCATTGATGAAATTTAGGAAAAAAATAGCAAAAACAACGGAGGCAATACAACGGAAATTTGGAAAGATAAGTAAAAAATACGTTTATACTATTAATTGAGCGTAGGTCGTCAGCAAAATTTGAAAAAAAAAATCATAAAAAAAAAATTAAAATAAAAAAATCAATTATGCCAATTAAAAAGCGCGTAGGAAATTTACTCACACAATTTCTTGAAATTCCTTGCGTGTCACGTTCGCTTTAGTCTTGCCTTCATTTATTATTGAAACTACATTTTTTTCTTGTATTTATTTTGCAATTTTCATCAAATCGCCTGACTTCTTAATTGAAACTTGTTCTCGTTCACGCTCAGAGGAGGCGGCTTGACGTTGTGAAATTGTTCTTTGAAGCAAAAATAAAAAAAAAAACATTTGTACGTTAGATGGTTTCAATATGCAACTTATGTATGCTACAAAAATAAAATTTATACAATTTAAAATTCTCGCTGTGCTACAATTTGCACATTGAACTTACTTCTCGCCGGAAAATAAACAGAGACGCGAGAATTTAACAAGTTTTAACAATTTTACTTTTGTTTATTATTTTTTTATGAGTCCAAAATTCAAACTTTGTGCAAAAGTTAGAGAAATTTAACAAAGTTTCATTCAAATTACAAAACTTTTTAAACAGAATCTTTAGAAGAAATTTAATTTCAGTATATAATTATTTTCTTGGCGACGGTGTTACTCTTCTTATTAGGTACGTATAAAAAAATTGTTGAACATACTTCGTGTGGAAAAAAATTTCCAAAAATCAACGGTTAGTTCTAGCTACATCTAAACTCGTAAACGCCTTGTAACAGCGTAATTTAGTTTACGAGGTTACGTGTAGATTAATTGCTACATAACTGCATACCAAAATTGTTTCTAAAAATTCGGGTAAAAATGAATTAAATTTTGATAAAAATTTTTCTAATTTTTGAACAAAGTTTGAAGATCGGACTAAAAGCATGAACAGATGGCAGCGTTGATCCGGATCAACTCTGGAATTAACTGCAGTTGATCCGGATTAAGTCCGAGTTAATCCGGATCAACGCTGCCGCCTGTTTAAGCTTTTAGATGTGTTTTGTTAGACAGTGAGCTATACTTTCATAAAAAGTAAGAAATATTAATTAAACGAAAAAAACTATCCATAAAAAAATTTAAAATGTCGCGTTCCTATTTAATTTCCCACCACCGTATTTTACTATGTACGCATTTAATGTCCTTGAGCTCAGCGGTTTTATAATTTTCATGCCCAACAATAAGAGAAATTTAAGGAAAAATCCTAAAACAAAGTCTTAAGAAATTGCCTTTTTTAGTTTTGCGAAAAACATTCTATGAAGCATTAAGACTCCTGCAAATTAAATTTTGCAAAAAAATATACAAAATAAATTATTAAAACAAAATGATTTGATCGGAGAATTCTGCAGTGAAAAAATACTTGTTAAACATTACCTAAAAAAAAACAAAGAAATAAAAAATTGTGATATGTTCATATAAAACGTGCTAAGATCAGTTTGCATAACCTTTCTAAAAAGTTATTGAACAAGAGTTTTTAACACTAAAAAACAGAAAAAAAAAATTTGTAATTTTTATAATTTTTTTTTTAATCAACAGTGACCGATTGTGAACAAGTTAATACATATGAAAGTGTTTAGTAAAATGATTATGAAATAGAATAACTTAATAACAGAATAAACAACAACAAAATCATCAAAAAAAAACAAAAAAGGACGGGAAATATTTTACTGAAATACTAAAAAGCTTAGAAAAATCTACATACGACTATTACTACACATGCATAAAATAAAAGCACACTCAAAAATTTCGTCAATCCAAAAAAAGATAATAATTGAAAAAAATTATAAATCCACTTTAATATCCAACAACGAATCGGAAGTGCGCCAAAAACATAAAAATTAGCAGCCACAAATTGGACGAGACCAATGTGCAATCACAAATAATAAATGTTACAATCATACAAATATGTATTCTAGTTAATATAATACAATAAAAGTAAAAATTATTATGATTGTTTAAAATCACAATCAACAAACTTAAATTGCTGAAGAAAAGAACGCCAACACAATCGGAAAGCGAGCAAGCAAGCAAGCAGCAGAAAAAAACAACGATTTGACGTCGGTGATCAAACGGGCATACTGAGTGTCAAATTGTGCGCGCTCTCCAAAACTGAGCACGCAATAATATCGCACCAATCGCAGTTGTTCTTTTTCTTATCTCACGCAAACTTTCCCCAACTTAAGCAAATACACATCTACTTTATAGACTACGCTCGTTTGCCATCGCCAACGCCACCTCCAAACGACTTGCTGCTGCGCCCCTATTCCCTCACAAATCATCAGCTCTCCAGCAACGCAATCAATTGACCCAACAGCGGCGCCATTAATTTCCTTTTGAATGGAAACACTGGACAGTGGCATTTATGAGACGCATAACTGCCGCCGCCTGCGACACCTGCAACGCCTGCTACTCAACGCTGTTTGTCATCGTAACGATAAAGGCAGCGACGCCGTTAGCATCTGCTTCAGCTGCAACGTCAACGACACAGCCAACTCCAAAGCTAAGAACAGCGTCAGCGTCCACACGTACGCCATTTGCGTACAACAACAACGCCTCTTCTGCGGCTGCTACCTGCTAGCTAGTGGCGACTATACGCTGTGGATTGTCAAATTGAATTATCCAAAAGGTAGGTGAACAATAGCCGCTAGGCGGTGAGGCGAACGGGGAGAGTTACATACATATGTACATAGATACGGGTAGAGAGGGCGTTGAGTGAAAATAATGCACTAAAAATACATACAAAACAAATTAAAGCACTTCGCTGTAAGCAAGTTAGTTGCCATAGCGGAAAATTTTATGCCACATTTGCTGATATCTTTCAAATAACAGTTTGCACACAAATAAACAGTATCTTCTGTTTATCTTGTAGCTGCTCTAGTATATTAGCTACAAGTTTTAGAAATGCGCCGGAGACATGCCAATGTTCGGCGCGCAGACATTTTGACGGACAAGCTTGTAAACATAAATAAAACACGCGCATACCTCCACCTCCACCTGCATATTCGCATTCACACACACACACAATCCCAAATCACTTCATGCTGCTGCTACACTTCCACTACCATTACTGCAATCCATCAAAAACACTAAAGTAAATAAAACCGCAAGTAAACAAAAAAAAAAAACAACACGAAAACTCTCCACTCATCGTCAGCAGAAACGCTGCTTTTCCGTTACTCATACGCCATGTTGCACCGCCACATTGTTTTGCTTTAGCAGCCAGTCTCTCAGCTGTCAGCCATCAGCCGTCATACGTCAACAACCTGTTGCTCTTGCACGCTCTCGGAGTATTTCTGCTTATCACATTTAAGCAAAAATACATACATATGTATGTAAATATTTTCTATTTAAATTTGTGATAAATTAAATTAAATCTAATTTCTAACTGCGTTGCACGTCTAATGAGACATTGTACTCTCCATGCGCTTGTTATTGGTGTATGTTTATGGCTTGTTATGTGCTCGTTACGTGTTATTTAATTCTTATTCTAATACAATAAATTAAAATGTATGTATGTATGTATGAACTTACATTAGAGTGGTCCACAAAAAAAAAGAAAAGGCCAAGTTTGGGTTTGGGGCACCTTCCAAAATTTTTCCTCTTGCCGAATGAGTTGCTGGTAGCAAGCCTTACGTTTCTAAGTATAAATTTAGGGGTTGCTCATGATCAGGGAAAAGGAACGGATTTTTGTGAAAATTGTCCTTTTTTCTGCTAAAGAGATAGAGTATATTCGATTAAGAATGTCCACGATTTAGCTTTCCCTGATTCCATGTACACTCATTTGATGTTGCCGGTTTTTTCTATGTTTAAAGTTAACCATTTCTATTATCGGTTTTTGGCGTATTTATGTTTCTTGGTTGTAAGCTAATTTAAAATCGATAATAAAATGTTTTACTTTAGAAACAATGATAAATTTTAATGCAACCTCAACATATAAAGTACGCTTTAAAGTTACAGGTTACTTGAGAAAACGGCCCTAAGTGGGGTCATATGAAAATGCGCAAAGAATTTTTGTATGAAAAATGAGCAGGAAAGAATGTTACTCATACGCCATATACACCTGAAAATATCTCGAAAACTTATCTACAGAATAAAAAATTAACTCGATTTTCGGAATCAGCTAGAAATTCTATATCGGAATTTATTAGTGGCGTCCGTTGAATATTTTTTCTGCAAACCAGTGTGTTATTTTTCAGTTTTTGTCCTTTTTTAGTGCCTTCTTTTGCCTTTTTCGCTATTTCTAATGCCTTTTCCAGCCTAATTCGTTATTTTATTTTTTGCTTTTTCCAACCTATTTCGTTATTTTATTTTGCCTTTTCCAGCCTATTTCGTTATTTCTTTTTTTTGCTTTTTCCAACCTATTTCGTTATTTTATTTTTCCTTTTCCAGCCTATTTCGTAATTTTTTTTTTTGCTTTTTCCAACCTATTTCGTTATTTTATTTTGCCTTTTCCAGCCTATTTTGTTATTTTTTTGCCTTTTTTATAGGTTTTTAGGTCATAAAGTTCCGTTCCTTGCTCACGATGCTCATATTTTACTTAGAAGTATTGCATACATACATACTTGTATATTAATCAAACAATTGGTTAAGTAACCTAACAACATTTCAAATTGAAATTATCTAAGAAAATATCATAAGCTCCAGTTGTCATGGCAACAGCACCTTTTTATAAAAATCACCAATATTTTTGCCAGTTTCACAGCGATCCAGTAGCGCATTTCAAGGCGATTGAGCACCCTATATTGGTTGCAGTACAAAATTGCAAGTTGGTATAGATATTACAAATCGATGGCTGAGTGGAAGATCGACCTATCTCGGCAGCCAGTTCGAAAACATTCTATCTCAAAAAACTTTTCAAGAACGTCCTATTTCAAAATTCGTTTCAAAAACGCCCTATCTCAGCTGCCGATTCAAAAACCCCCTATATCAGCATATTTTCAATACATTTTGAAGTGCGATAGGGCGTTTTTGAACCGAATTTTGAGATAAGGTGTTTTTCAATAAAATTCTGAAATAGGGCGTTCTTGAAAAGTTTTTTGAGATAGAACGTTTTCGAACTGGCAGCCGAGATAGGTCGATCTTCCACTCAGCCATCGAAATATTAAAAGGAAAAAAACTAAGGGGGTCCCCCGTTTTCTAGGATGGAAATTTTTTTCCCGATACAAAAATTGGACCACTTTAATGTATATATATACGTACCTATGTATGTGTGTGTTTGTATGCATGTATGTCAACACTTGCGAAAAATTATAAACAAAGTCTGACATGTGACTTTGTTTGGGTGCCAGGCAGTTTATCTAGGTCGCTGTATCACGGGTAGTTTAAAAAAAAAAAAAAAAAACTGGAAATTTCGTAGAACATTAAGTTATTAGAAAAATAGTTTTTTTGGAAATTTCGCACCCTACAAAATTCGTTGGAGGGCTTTGTGACTCAGAAAATTACTGCGGCTTACTGTACGTAAGCGTCAGCTTGTCAATAAATTTTGGAAAACATGCATGAACTGGAGAGCATTTATGTCGCTTTGTTCTCAGGATCCGTTTACCTTGGGAATTCCCAAAGGAACTTGAAAGGATTTTTTTCTTATTTACAATTAACGGATTCACAACGGTGTCGTAAGTGTCGTATTGTTGTATGTCGTAAACTTTAAAAGCTTAAATAAATGTTTAGAGATCTTGAAACGACAACCAACTATTTTTTAACACTGAAAAAATTCATAACATGACCTTGATGGTACTTTGCGAACCCGCTTAATATATTTCTCACTTTTTTCGTTCAGTTTGAAATCAAAAAAAATAAAAATAAAAAAATAAATAGGTATTTATATAATTTTGCGCGCACTGCCTCATCAGTCGCAATGGCTGAGTGGGCAGAGCACTGGCGTGCTATTCGAGAGATCTGAGTTCGTGTCCTCGGGCAGGAAAATTTTCTTTTTTTTTTTTTGTTTATTTTTTTCTTGTTTAATCTTCAGAAACTTTATTTATTAAATTTTTCGCTTATTAATTTAATTTTCTTTTTCTTTTGATTTACAGATTTGGTTGTTTTAAAAGGGAAACTAATATTTTTAATTTAATGCAGTTTTTTAAAACGGTTTGCTAAAATACAAACAAAACCACTAACAGGCCAATTCTGGCATCTGTCTTTCAACTCACCACAGTCTTTCCAAAGACAAAAGGCTTTCTATTCCGGAAACTATCTTGAAAGTTCTTTTCTGTATCTCGAATGACTAATTGACAGATCTATTAACGAGGATATTAAAAAATAGTTTTTTTTTTTTTAAATAAAACCACCATTACTACTGTAACAGCAACGTTAGCGAAATTGAAATTTATTGAAAACAAACTAAAAATTTCATAATGAATCGTTAAAAAGTTAAGTAATGGTTTTTTATTTACTTAATTTAATGTTCATTAAATGCTGTTAATGAATTCATTAATGATTTTTATTAATTGAAATACCCTTTAACTAGTTCAATGCGGTGTTCTAACTAAGAGCCTATAGAGGCTATTTCAATGAATTTAATGAACTAGAAGTGAACTAATCCTTCCAGTGATTTAAAAAATCCAACTCTACTACCTACATACATACTTGTTATTGTTTTACTTATCATTATTGTTTTCGATAATCAATTTGGTTACCTCTATTACTGTTATTATTGTTTTGAGTGCTTTTATCGATAATGCTATTGCTGATGTTATTTTCATAGGCATCGATACTCTTATCGATACCAATAATTATTTTAGTTAACGACTTTTGATAGTTGTCGATATTTTTATCAACGTTGCCAATGTTGGAATTATTATGGATATTTTAATAATTTTCCGTTATCGATAAATTTATCGGCTAAGTTTAGTTTTCGTTTTTGCTGAATTTTCAACATTGTTATTTTTAAGGTTATCGAAATTTTTATCATCGAACTCTTAGAGTAAAAGTTTGTGAAGTGGGCCACCATTTTTTCGAAGGTCGAGCTTTTTTGTGCAATCATCTGCTTATGCTTCATAACGATTAAAGAAAAATACTAGTTTCACAATTTTTCGAAATTCTAGTTATTTTGGAAGTTATAGCTATTAACATTTTTCGAAATTGTTTAGATTTTGACTGTTTTCTCGCGATTGGTAATACCGATTCAGCTCATATTTTAAAGAATTGAGAATGATGGTGTTTTCTTCCCATTTTCATTTTTTATTTGGCCATACAGTTTTTTTTTATGAAAATTATATATTTTTTTTTTAATATCAGTGACATCTCAATGGCTTTAAAATCGCGTTTTGGGGTAATATTATTGTACGTTCCATTAGTAATTATTTGCAAAACAAAACTTTGCCGCAATGCATCGACACGAAAGTTATTATATGGAAAACGAAGAAATGAGCATCGCAAGGGCGCTAGATTCGCTGTCAATCGATACTTGTTGAAAAACTCATGCGGGGTAAATATCTACGGCAAACGTTTTCCAGCAGCACTGCACATACCGTCCCCAATTCTGCTCGATCCTTTTGGCACCGTAAAGCAGAACTTCTTCTAAGGCAACATAAACAAGTTTTTCCAATAGCGGTCGCCCCTCGACAGGCAGTGCCAAAGCTCCAAGTGTATTCTGCCATGAAAAACAGCTTTTCATAAAAATACAAT